GTTAAATAGTTCCGCTTTCTCCCTGTTGCTTGTCACCTTCTTCCCACTTTCACCCACTAATGGACCAATCATTTCCTTCACTTTTTTCTTGTTTTTTACATGTTGAAAGAAGCTTTTTTTGTTATTTTTGACTTTGGTCGCAAGCCTTAGTTCATTTTGAGCCTTAGCTTTCCTCACTTCGTCTTTGCAGGCTCGGGCTGTTTGCTGATATTCTGACTTAGTTATGTGCCCCTCTTTCCACTTTCTATACTTTCCCTTTTTATCTTTCAATTTGTCAGAGAGTTCTTTATGCAGCCATGCTGGTTTCTTTTGAGAGCTGTTATTTTTATATTATAGCGGATGCTTTCTGGGCGAGGAGGAGTGGAAAGGATGGGGTCTGTCATCCCCCTCCCTCTGGACTAGCCCTCTTTGAAAGCTTAAAAAGCAAACTTCAAAGCATTTTGCAAGAATTCAGTAGATATTTCAGCCTGTTCTACTGATTCAAAACTTTTAGAAATTTATTTCTTAATTAGAATATATGACCTCCCAGCTCACATAAGCAGCTCTGGTCAGCCAACACAGTAAAAATATAAACGCAAGAACAAAAGACAATAAATATAATGCACAAAAGTTAAATGTCCACCGAGGATAGACCAGTCAGCCCCAAATTCATTCAATTTAGCTTACAGGTAATCCTCAACTTACAACAGTTCATTTAGTGACCGTAGTTACAACAAGATTGAAAAAAGTGATTTATGACCATTTTTCACACTGGTGACTGTTGCAGCATTCCTGCGGTCATGTGATCAAAATTTGGATGCTTGGTGACTGTTTCACATTTATGATGGTTGCAGTGTCCCGGAGTCATGTGATCATCTTCTGTTTCCTTTTGACAAACAAAGTCAATGCAGAAGCCAGATTCACTTAACAACCAACAACCGTGGTACTAACTGAACAATTTCAGCGATTCACTTAACAACCATGGCAAGAAAAATTGCAAAATGGGGCAAAACTCATTTAACAAATGTTTCACTCAACAACAGAAATGTTGGGCTTAATTCTGGTCGTAAGTCGAGGACGACCCGTAGTGGTTAAGGCACCAGGCTAGAAACCAGGAGGCAGTCAGTTCAAGTCCCGCCTTAGGCACAAGAATCCGCTGTGTGATTTTGGGGCCAGTCATCCTATCTCCACAGGGTTGTTGTGGGTAAAATGGAGGACAAGGAAAGAGCATCAGGTATGTCCGCAACCTTGAGTTCTTTATGGAAATGATAAAAGTGGGACATGAACAGACAAACTCTAGGGCTTAACTCTCTCCCGATCTCAAGGACGTCTGAAAGAAAACTTTACTAAGGCCACACTTGGAATACAGTTTTGGTCACCACGATGTAAAAAAGATGTTGAGACTCTAGAAAGAGTACAGAGAAGAGCAACAAAGATGATAAGGGGACTGGAGGCCAAAGCATATAAGGAACGGCTGCTGGAATTGGGTATGTCTAGTTTAACGAAGAGAAGGACGAGGGGGGACATGATAGCAGTATTCCAGTATCTCAGGGGCTGCCACAAAGAAGAGGGAGTCAAGCTATTTTCCAAGGCGCCTGAAGGCAGGACAAGAAGCAACGGGTGGAAACTAATCAAGGAGAGAAGCAACCTAGAACTAAGGAGAAACTTTCTGACAGTTAGAACAATTAACTAGTGGAACAACCTGCCTCCCGAAGTGGTGAATGCTCCAACACTGGAAGTTTTTAAGAAGAGACTGGACAGCCATTTGTCTGAAATGGTATAGGGTTTCCTGCCTGAGCAGGGGGTTGGACTAGATGACCTCCAAGGTCCCTTCCAACTTTATCATTATTATTATTATTATTGTTGTTGTTGTTGTTGTTGTTGTTGTTGTTGTTAAGGCCAGCGGGATTCAGCCTGACTCTAACTCCAAAAGAAAGAATGTCCCAGTCTTAACTTGTGTTTCTGACCTGATCCCCCTCCACTGCCAGGGGCTCTGTGGGGTCTCCCCTCCCCCTCGCCTGCGCCCCTCCCCCCAGGCCCAGAGAACCCTCCCGCTTTTCCCAGCCCCCCATTTCTGCCCCTCCCCCCAAGAGGCGGAATGCCTGGAAGGGGATTTCCTGATGGGACTTTCGCTTTCCTTTCCCCGCCTCTCCAGCCTGTTGCGCCTGAACGTCTGCCTAGAAACAATGACGACACGGGAATTCCTTTTTTCTACTGGTTACGGTTGGCCAATCAGCCGCTTTGCTTTGGATGGTTGCGTTGTTGATCACCCGGAGCGGCTCTTTCTCTGCCTGAGTCTTCTGGGGAGCCGAGCCGGGATGGCGCTGCGCTCTCTGCCGCTCCTGGTGTTGGTGGGGGTCGCCCTGCGGGAGAGCTGCCTCGGTGAGTCCCTTCATCTCCCGGTGGGGATCCATCCAGGGAATCTCTCTCTGTCTCTCTCCCCCCCCCCCCCCCCAAAGATTATTCCCAGGAAGAGAATCCCGATTCGGTCCTCTTTCGAGTCCGCTCCCCCTCTGGCCCCTCTCAGAAGGGACCCCAAAGCGTGGATGGGACTTTGCAGCCTCCCCCCCTCGCCCCCCCAGGAGAGCCCCTCTGGGAACGGGAGAAGGGTCGCCCCTCCAGAGGTCAGTCAAGTCTACCTGGGCGCCCCCGAGCGCGGTTCTTTCCCTCCCCCAAAGTGGAGGTTGTGGGAAAGCGGCGTTTGCAGGGACCGGGTCAGTTCCCAAACTTCCTGGCTGCCTTCGCACAACCCCTCCGCCTGGCTCCTCTTCCCTGCCTTTGGCGGGGCTCGGGGGCTCTTTGTGGCTTCTGGTGCTGGGAGGAGCCGGCTCGTTTCTCGACTCGCTTCCGTGTATTGGCAGACAAGGAGGCTGGAGCACTGGAGCCCTCGGGTTAAGGCTGTCCTGGGAATGCAGCAGGAGAAGAAGAGTCTGGAGAGAAGAGCTCCTTGAACTCTCTTCCCAATGATCCCCCCTGATTGATTGATTGTCACTTTCCCCTGGATCCCCACCCCCCACCCCGTCTCCGTCCTAAACCCCAATATCCCCAGAGCTGTTTTCTAGGACAGGCAGGAATTTTTCCACCCAAAATCCTCCTCCTTCCATTTCAGGAGCCCCCAGCAAGGAAGAGTTTGCAGAATCAGAAATATTTAAAATTTGCTCTTATTCCTTAGTGATCAGATCGGAGGTCTTGGGGTGTCCCTAGTTGTTCCTCAGGGAAACTCTCAATGCAGCAGCTTTTCCAAAGGCATTTCCAAAACTGTCAGGATCTGAAGGATTAGAGAGGCTGGGCTAGAGGCAGGAGGAGAGAAGCCCCTCTGGATGGAGAGCCTGAAATGAAGGGCTTGCTTGGACACAGACAGGCCCAAACTGACCAGCCCTTCCTGACCTGAGGAGGATTCGTGATTGTGAGGACGCCCAACCTGCGTTACATTCACACGTTTCTCCTCTCAGGCAGACTTCAGACTCCCTCACTGCTCAGCCCCCCCCCCCCCGTTCAAAGTTTCAACGTTATTGAAAAAAGAGACTTATCACCATTTTAAACACTTACGACCATTTTAGCGTCCTCGTGGTCACGTGACCAGGATTTGGATGCTTGGCCACTGGTTCATATTTATGACGGTTGCAGTGATCCCGTTTTGCGACCTTCTGAGAAGCAAAGACAATGGAGAAGCCAGATTCACTTAACAACTGTGGCAAAAAAATCATAAAATGGAGCAAAGCTCACTTAACAAATGTGTCAGCAGCAAAAAATGTGGACTCTGTTATCGTCGTAAGTCAAGGACTGCCTGTGTTTATTTCTTGGGGGGGGGCTTTGGAGGTCCTTCCCTTTTCCATGCAGACCCAGGTTCTGCCCAAATAAGTCCCGTGAAGGATCCTGAAAATGATCTTTAAACTCTTTGGTGCCCCGGAAGAATTTCTGACCTGAAGAGCTTTCAGAACGGAGACCCAGAAGGGGCCTTGGGGATTTTCATCAGCTTAATCAATTTCCCAGGAGCCCTTTATTCATTTTATTTATTTCTTTTAATTCTTTTAATCCACTTACAAGCTGCTGTTTTTCTGTTCCTTGGGCAGCCTCAGAGTCTCTTCCGTGTTTGTATTTTGACAATGAAAACTAAACAGTGACTTAATGTGATTTTCTTCTGTCCTTATTAGTCAAGTTTAGCATAGTTTATGTCTTGAATTTAGTCTCTCCTCCAATCCAAGGAAGGGCTGAAGAAACTTTGATGCTCCTCGGTTGGGAGTTTGCACGAAGGAAACTGAAATAATGTTGTATGTTTATCTTTGGTTCACCAGAGGGGCTTTAAAGGTGACGGGACCCTCCATACAGAGGCTGAGTTTGGGAAAAGGACCCCAGCAGAGCCCCCCCACCCCACCCAATATGGGAGTTGGCAGCAGGAACTCCCGAGCAGCCACAGTGGGGCCAGGGGGTGGGGCCAGCGTGGAGAGGCCCCATGGGTTTCTCCAGGTGAGGGGAATTCTGGGAGTTGAAGTCCAAGTGGCTGAGTCTGAGAAACTCTAATTTAGGCCTTTATATTGAGAGTCACTGATCATGTGAAGAGTTGGGTAGCCATGATCAACCCCCTCCCAAGCTTTGTGGAAGGCCTTGCTGGAAGGGGGGAGTGTGCAATTTGGGCAGGTAAAGTTTGGGGGACCCGACCTTCCCCTCCTCTCTCACACCTCAACGTCCCTGCCCTCCAACCCTTCAGGCCCTCCAGAAGCTGCTTTTCTCCCTCTCAGTCGTTCCCTCCTTCCACCTCCTGCCTCCCCTTCCATCCTCTCCCCCTTCCTTTCCCCCTTTCTCCTCCCCCCCCAGCTCCTCCCTCCTCCTCCTCTTCTTCTTCTTCTTCTTCTTCTTCTTCTTCTTCTTCTTCTTCTNTCCTCCTCCTCCTCCTCCTCCTTCTTCCTTCTTTCTCCCCAGAGCCTCAGATTGGATCCTCCATAGGATGAGAGTCCTTCACTGGAGCCCCCTAACTCTGCCCCTCTGGGTCCCTTCCAGGCGCCTCCTCACACTCCCTGAAGTATTTCTCCTCCTCCATGTCGGACCCCAGTCAGGAGCTGCCCCACTTTGTCTCTCTGGGGCTTGTGGACGGTCAGGTCTTTGTTCACTACGACAGCAACAGCCGGAGGGTGCAGCCTCGAGTCTCCTGGATAAAGAAGGTGGGGAAGGAGGACCCCCAATACTGGGACAGGTACACCCAGAGAGAACGTAGCAATGAGGAGGCGTTCAGAGAAGGCCTGGAGATTCTGAGGCTTCGCTACAATCAGAGCGAAGGTGAGTGATGGATCAGGTGGTTCTCCTGCCCCATAATCCCCTCCCCACAAACCAGAGGGGGGAGAAAGGGGGGTCCCTTCAAAAGGAAAGCCTGCTTCCCCACATTTAAAAAAACTTTTTTAATATGCTTATTCTTTTTTAAAAATCAATATAAGCTTGTTGTTGCCTCCATAGCTGATGTTTTCTGCCAATTGCAGTTCATAAAAACATTTTTTTGAAATGAGGGATCAACTGCAGATCCATCTGGGCTGACTAGATTCCTCTCTTTCACCTCTTTTTGGAGGGATGAGTGGGGTCCAAAACGGCAGGAGCTTCTTCTCATCCTCCAGATGGAAGGAGAGGCCAGGAGGCCAAATGGGGTGGGGTGGGGCTCTTGGAGGGGGGTACAGGATCACTTCCGGGATCCTCCCAATCTTGAAGGGAAAAAGGACAGAAAAGAAAGGAACCCCCATTTGGCGCCCTTCCTGAGTCGCTCAGAGCTCTGATGGCTTCCCATCCTTGGTCCCTCCGGCTGGACTCCTGCGCTGCCCTCTTGGCGGGGCTGCCCTGGAGGGAGAGGCCTTCTTCAGCAGCCCCCCCTTCTGCCATCTTTGGGGCACAAGATTCACCTCCAAGGAATCTGATTTAGGGGAGAGATTGCAAGCAAATATCTGTGTCACCAGAGGCTGCTTTGGGCTGAGGTAAACTTTCTCCACAAACATCAGCCATTTTCCCTTCTTTCATTCCAAGGAGGTGCAGCCCCCCTTCTTCTGCCCTTTCCTTGCCCATCCCCCCCAGGCAGACACCCCTGTTCTGCCCCTGATCCCCAAGGATCCCCCAAGATCCCTCCAGGCCCCCTGCTGGCCTCTCAGGGGAGCAGAATGGACCCAGAGGGCTCCCCCTGGTGGAGAAAGGAGGAAGGAGAGCGGCCAGAGTGGAGGGGAGCCTCCTTTCCAGGCCAAACAGCCCCAAATGTCCCAACCTTTCCTCCAAGGGAGGCTGCTTCCACCCTCCCATCCTCTGGGTCGCCTCCTCTGGACCTTCCCCAGCTCCCTCCCGCCCTTTTTGAGGTCTGGTGACCAGAACTGCACACGATATTCCAGAGGTGGTGGCACCCTTGATTTACGCAATGGCTTTGTGACATTGGCCTCCGTGTTTTCAGTACCATTTTAATGATCTCTGATATCCTGTTTGCGTTTTGAATTCTTTTATATAATTTGTATTGAACTTTCCAACAAAAGATAAAAACTAACAGAAAGTATCATAAAGTAAAGAAGATAAAAGAAAGAAATCCAAGAAAAATCAAAAACTATATAAGAAAAGAAAATAAGTTGAAGAAAATAAAGAAAAAAGACATAAAGAAGTGGCTTCTGATATTCTTCACAGCAGTTACAAATATAAATATATTTTAGCCTCCCTAAAGCAGTCTTTCCTAACCTTTTGACCCTGGAGGAACCCTTGAACTATTTTTCAGGCCTCGGGGAACCCCTGAACATCCAGGCTCGGAGATGGGGCAGAATTGTTTCCTGCGTAGACCTGTAGAGATGCATTAACAGCCTTCTTACACTAAGAATAAAAACTTGCCTTTTCAGTCTGATCCCTGTGCTTTCTTTTTGCAGCACAAATATTCAATTCTGTGCCAAACTTGCAATGAACACAAACAGATTTCATCTTCAACTGAAATAAGACGGTTTCTGTCTTAGTTTGGATGCTTCTGAAATAAGACAGAGCTGGTTCTCAGAAATTGAAAACTGCAGACAGATTTTCAGTGCCTTCCTGTGAATGGCAGGAGACTCTTCTTGGGCAGAAATCCAGAACCTTTTTTTCCCCCCTGGGCAGATCAGGGAATCTCCTCTGGAGGGCAGGATCAGACTCAGCTCAGGAGGATCTTCCTCTCCCTCCAAAGGGAAGGTCTCAGGCTGAGCAGAAGCTGCAGAGAAAGGATCCCCTCACCCGATCACTCATGGGAGTGGAAAGGGAGGGAAAGGACTGGTCAGTTTAGTTCAACTGTACTTACAAGTGGTTTTCCCTCAGATTTGAGAGTTTCTAGCGTCCTTCCTCATTTTGAAGCCCAACCAGAAGTAGAAACATTTCAACATTTCTTTTTGTTTTTTTCAAACATTCAGTTTTTTTTTAAATCCCAGAATCTGGTCACTTAAAGTCAAAATATTTTCTCCAGGACCTTGCAAAGATGTAAACTTCAAACTTCATTTCAAAGGTCAACAACCCTTTGGGGGTGCAGATCAGATTGGGCCACTTGCTGCTGTTGCTAAGGAAAATATTCCTTTGTGGCCCTTCAGGGCTTCATTCCCACAGTGTACAAATCCATGGTTTCTATCTGGTTAGCCCAAAAAGGGAGCCAGCCTTGTGACTTGGTGATATTTGTGAACATAGATCAAGATTAATGGCCACAGGGATCCTAGCAAGCTTGTTTGCAGATCGACAAGATTCTCTCTGAGGCCATGAGATTCTCAGTCCCTCTTTGGAGCTGCAGATTCATGCAACAGTTCCCTCTCTGGGATCCCTTCCTTTCCCCCCAAGAGTCTCCCCAACAGAGGAACGGCAGAAGGAAAGAAGGGAGAGGCTCCATCCCTCCGTTTCTTCTGTGACACCTTCTTTTCTCGGTCTCCCTCAGGATTCCCTTTTCCTGGGGAGGTTCAGGGGCTCCATCCTGGGGGGGAATGGAGGGAGGCAGGTCGAGGGAGGGGAGAAGGGCAGGTAGTGATGGGGGCTTTCTTTCCCTTGATTGCTAGGGAGAAAATGGGGGTGTCAGTTCCTGTGCCAAAGTCCCTGCAGGGAAGGGGGTCTGTGTCTCTGTTGAGGACTCCCCAAACCATCATCATCTTCCTATTTCAGGCCTTCACACATGGCAGTGGATGTATGGCTGTGAGCTCCAGGCTGATGGGAGCAAAGGAGGATTTGAGCAGTATGGCTACGATGGGAGTACCTTCATCACCTTCGACAAGGAGAGACTCACCTGGGTGGCTCCCGTCCCCCAGGCCCAGATCACCCAGAGGAAATGGGATGCTATTCAAGGATATAATCAGAGAAAGAAATACTTCCTGGAGAAGGAATGCATTGAGTGGCTGAAGAGGTACCTGTCCTACGGGAAGGAGACACTGCTGAGGACAGGTGAGCCTATGGATCCAGGTTGGACTTTCCTCCTTTACGGCTGGATTTCTTGTGCACATTCGGCCCCTTTGGGTTCCTGATCTGCAGTCTGACTGCCCAGGAGGGAATCCTCCCCCTCCCCTTCCAGCCCCTCTCCATGACGCGGGAAGCCCTGATTGGTTCTCCTTGGCAGGCCGCCCTTCGATGGACCAGGAAACGCAGCCTCTGCCTGGCGGGTGTCTGGGTGGATCAGGCAGGAAAAGCACTTGGGGGTGTCCTGTTCACAACCCACAATGAGGGGCACCCTTAATTTCCCCCCATTACAGTAGTGGCCAAAATTGTGGAAACCTCTCTGCCCCCTTTGAGGGATAATATCTCTTCTCCAAATTAATCAGTCAGAAATTGCAAAAGCCCCGAGCCCCTTTTTTCCTTTGATTCTCGCTCTCCTCTTCTTGAAACTGGTGTTGTGTCCCTTGGAAAGAGGCCTGGAGCAGTCTCAGATTCAGGGGAGCAGAAGGAAACCACAAAAGTAGGGAGAAACCTCTGTGTTGTTGTTGTTGTCTTGAAAGGGAACTTAAAAGGGCAGCTCCACTTTCCCTCCCCTGAAGGAAACAATCCAAGATCACTCAGAGTTCAAATCAGCCAGAGAGGAATTTCCTTGGACCCTCAATTTGCTGCTGGAGGTTTTTCAGGCTGAGTCCCTGAGAAGGACTCAGAATCAGGAGTTCTTGTGGTTGAGCATTTTCCAGATCTGGAGCATCTCCCAAAACTCTTGGAGATGCTGCAGGTGTGGAGTGGGAAGTAGTGGGAGACTTTCCTGCCCCTCTGAGTTTCCCCTCCACCTTCCAGGCTCTGGAGGGGCTGAGAGTTAATTCCGGGGGTTCCGTTTCTGCAGAGCCACCAGTGGTGACCATGAGCAGCAAGACGGAGGTGGAGGATGGGATGGAGACGCACGTCTGTCGCGTGGATGGCTTCTACCCCAGGGAGATCGATGCCTCCTGGATGAGGGACGGGGATGTCTGGCTGCAGGACACCCTCTGTGGCTCCGTGGCCCCCAACGCGGATGGGACCTTCCACGCCTGGCTCAGCATCCGGATCGATCCCCAAGAGAGGGGCCACTATCGGTGCCACATGGAGCATGACGGCCTGGAGGAGCCTCTGGACGTGGCCCTTGAGGGTGAGAGGCTGCAGGGAGGGAAAGGCTGGGCTCTTTGGCAGGCTGGAAGGTTGTGGGAGGGAAATCTCACCCCAGCTGTGTCCAGATGTGAGGGAGGATGGGAGATGAAGGCCTTCAGGTCCAAGGACCCCAACTGATGGTGAAGATACTTTGGAAAATCCTTCTTCTCTCTCGTATTTATCTCATACACTGGAAGGGAAGGAATTTGGGGGAAGAGGCATTGGGGCTCTGGGGAGGGGTCTGCCTGCCCCCCCAACTCTTATCCTCTGGCGCCTCTCAGGCTCCGACTGTCTTGATATAACTAACCCTTGGATGCTTCTTCCCCTCTTCTTTGCAGCACGATGGACACTCCCAGCCTAAGGAGGGAGGAAAGAATTGAGGATCAACCTTCTTCTGAATTAGACAGGAGGATCCCTTCAGGGCCTTCCAGCATTCTGGAACCAGGATATATTTGGGGTCTTTCATCATGGCTTTTATCACAGAATCAGTAACCTTTATTATGATTGAGGAATGGAAGAGAAAAGAATATACCGTATTTTTCCGTGTATAAGACGCTATTTTTTCCCCTTGAAACACCCTCTTCAAAAATCAGTTTCGTCTTATACACGGAAAAATAATGGTAACCTCCGCAGCCCAGGGCATGCCTGTGTGGGTTGCCACTAATGGGAGATGGGAGGGGGCAAGATCTTCTGCCGGCCAAACTTGCGGATTGATCAGCATGGAGAGCGTCTTATACACGGGTGCATCTTATAGACGGAAAAAGACAGTATGTTATTAATTGTGGAATCAAAAGATTTTAAATTGGGTTTTGTGGATAATAGTTTTTAATAAGTAGTTTGTATAACCCTTCATGGGCTTTTCCTGATTGATCTTAATGGATTGAGATTAGAGGTTAGAGATGAGGTTTCAGAGACGGGTTTATAGGGAATGGGGTGAGGAATAGGATGAAGAGTTTCTTGGTTTTACTTTAAGAGAGATTTATAGGTTGTTAATTTTCATTATACTTGTTGGGGATAAAGGTGGGGGTTTCTTTTTCTTTCTTTTTTTCCTTGTGTTAGTTTTATAAATTTAAATGTTATCTTCGAGGAAACTATTACTAAAAGAAGAAGCGTGCATCCTGAGATTTTGGTCACTGAAGTCGTTGATGCATTTTTAATTGATTGTTGCACAGTTAATTGAGCATATATTTGATTCAAAGTTTGACAGGTAATCAGTATAACGAGTGAAACATTCAGACTCTGATTTTTTTTTAATAGATTGTCATTTATGAATTTTCATGCTTTGGAAAAATGGAGCATGAGATCTATTGCACAGCCAGGCTTTTGGCTCCTTTAATCATTGCACTTAGATTGTAAGTTTGCTAAAGTTGTTTGCTGAAAATAAATGGTTTTGTTTTCCTCTTACCTGAGTTGTTGCCTGTTTGAAGAGATTGGAAATAGGAGGGATTTTACTCTTGTTTTGCTCAAAAAGACCAATTTCACTTTGAGAGGAAGGAAGGGGAGGAACCAAAGCAAAACCTGGATGAGGCAAGAACTTGGGGGGGTGTCTCCTGTGTGTTCATTTTGGGAAGAGGAAGCCATTTTGCTTCTGGGTCCGGATCTTTCTCTAGCATCTCCAGCTGACCTTCCGCAAAATGGCCGCTTGGTCTTGGCTTGGTGGGGGCAGCTGAGGGCCGAGTGGCTGGTCTCTGGGCCTCATCCAGGGGCCCTTTGGGAGACAGGAGCTCAGGGACCGGCCGGAGCCCTCCTGGTCCCCTTGCAGGAGGGCAGCTTCTCCTGCCTCTGAGAGGTCCTCTCTGGGCTCTTCGGGGGCCCAGTAGGATGCCCTGGCCCAAGAGAGGGGAGATCCCTGATTGATGGGAAAGAGGTCCCCCATATTATACTGGATGCTTTCTGGGCGAGAAGGAGTGGAAAGGATGGGGTCTGTCATGCCCCTCCCTCTGGACCTCTTTGAAAGCTTAAAAAGTAAACTTCAAAGCATTTTGCAAGAATTCAGTAGATATTTCAGCCTGCTCTACTGATTCAAAACGTTTACAAATTTATTTATTAATTGGAATATATGACCGCCCAGTTCACATAAGCAGCTCTGGTCAGCCAACACAATAAAAATATCAATACAAGAGCAAAAGACAATAAATATAATGCACAAAAGAAAAATGTCCACCAAGGATACACCAGTCAGCCACAAATTCATTCAATTTAGCTTACAGGTAGTCCTTGACTTACAACAGTTCATTTAATGACCGTAGTTACAACAGGATTGAAAAAAGTGATTTATGACCATTTTTCACACTTGTGACCATTGCAGCATTCCTGCAGTCATGTGATCAAAATTTGGACGCTTGGTTTTGGGCACAATATTGATTTGGACAATTGGCAAAGTCTATGGGAAAAAAACCTAAAAATTACTTTAGCAACCTCCTATAAGGAAAACCTCTATAAGATGTTTTATAGGTGGCATCTCCCTCCCACAAAATTAGCATGAATGAATAAGGGGATATCCCTGATATGCTGGAAGTGTGGAGAGACCGTTGGGAATTACCACCATATGTGGTGGAAATGCACACAGGCACAAAAATTTTGGAATTTATTAAAGAAATGGCTGGAAGAAATCCTGCTAATAGAGATAGAGGCCAAACCGGCATTTTTCCTATTGGGAATTATAGAAAGAAAATACAAGAACGATACAAATTATTTATTACTGCATATAGTAACGGCGGCACGAATAGCTTTCGCTCAAAAATGGAAAGAGAAAGATATTCCAACCTGTTAAGTCCGGAGAATAATGGCGCTTGAGACGAAGCATTTCTAACAAGTCTTTATTCTCTGCTTCCAAATACGAACAACGACAAGCCCAGAGGTGCGCAAGCCTCTATATATACCCTCCGATCCCCGGGCAATTCCAACCAATCACAAGGCAATCCTTTCCCGCCTTGCGCATGTGCGCAAGGCCGGCGCCGCTCAGTCTGGTCCCGGGCAGCTTTTGCAAATGCCCGGGACTCTTGCAACTTCCCGCGCCTGCTTCTGCAGGCACGGGACACAACACCCCTCCCCCCTAGATAAAATAATGCTGCGCCCAACATGGACGCCACCTTTGGTAGAAGGGTGTGAAGGAGCCGCGGTAGCATGGCGAATCATGTTATTTTGTAGAAACTCCTTCTGTCGACCCAGGCAGACCGCAGCGATGTGGCCTTTCTTTCCGCACGCTCGGCAAATGGCGGAACGGAACCGACATTCCGCTCGCTTGTGGCGACCCCCGCATCCGAAGAAACGAACCTCAGCTGGGCCCTTGTCCTGACGATCTTTGGACCTCCTCCCAGCTGCTTGGTACCGCTTGTCCACCTCCTTGTGGATGGTTGCATTCACTGGAGCGCTTCGAGAGGGCCGCAAATTCTTGACCGCTCTACCAGCAGCTTCCTCTGCCGTAACCTCTCGCAGAGCATCTTGGAAGAGACATCTTCCATGGCGAACAGCTTCTGCTGTAAGTCTCCGTTCCTCAGTCCGCACACAAAATGATCATGCAGTCTTTCCTCTAAGTCCTTGAAATCACACGGTTTAGCTGCTCTTCTCAAAGCTGCAACGTAGTCTTTTGCTGATTCTCCAACTCGCTGATCTCTCTGTTGAAATGTGTGCCTCCAAGCCATGACAGATTGCTTGGGCTGGAAGTGTTCCTTTAAAGTTTTCTTCAGGTCGGAGTATGATACCATTTCCAGCGAGTCCGGGGCGATTAAGCTCTCGGCAATCTCAAAGGCGTCTTGCCCACAAACGCACAACAATGTGGCAGCCTTTAAGCCTTCCTCCCGAATCTGGTTTATGCGGAAATACGTCTCGACTCTTGCCACATAAGATTCCCACCTCTCGGGGTGAGAGACGTCGAATTCCGCTAAACGCCCAACTTTCGCCATGATCGAGGATCAGGTCTTCTTCTTCTTCAGCCGCACGCACCTTCCAGCGATTTCGTACTGGCAGGATAACGCTGACCTCCACGCCGTTTTCTCTTCCGGACTTCTTTGGGTGAGTCTTCAAGCTTTCCTAGCTGTAGAGACTGAATCCCACCCTCGTCGCCAGTGTTAAGTCCGGAGAATAATGGTGCTTGAGACGAAGCATTTCTAACAAGTCTTTATTCTCTGCTTCCAAATACGAACAACGACAAGCCCAGAGGTGCGCAAGCCTCTATATATACCCTCCGATCCCCGGGCAATTCCAACCAATCACAAGGCAATCCTTTCCCGCCTTGCGCATGTGCGCAAGGCCTGCGCCGCTCAGTCTGGTCCCGGGCAGCTTTTGCAAATGACCGGGACTCTTGCAACTTCCCGCGCCTGCTTCTGCAGGCACGGGACAAAACACAACCGAAGAGGAAATATTACTGAAAATCCTCAATTGTGCAGAAATGGATAGACTCACATTGGAACTCAAGGATAAAAGTGAAACTAAGTACTATAAAATCTGGGAACAATTTTATGATTGGATAGATAACAAGAGGGCAGCCAAGACAAATGTATAGTGTTAGAACAAAATATAGATTATAGACAAATGTATATTTAAAAGATAAATAAATATATAGAAATAAGGGAAAAAGCATTAATATTATATTATAAATAGCGAGTAAAGTTTAAGAACTATATGCCTATATGAGTACTAATGTTACTGTAAAGTGACGGAAGATGTATGGAACCAGTGAGGTCATATCTATGTCCAATGTGTTTTTAATTCTGTATTATTAATAAAATTTCAATAATTAAATAAAAAATTGGACGCTTGGCAACCGCTTCATATTTATAATGGTTGCAGTATCTCGGAGTCACGTGATCACCTTCTGTGTCCTTTTGACAAGCAAAGTCAATGCAGAAGCCAGATTCACTTAACAACTGTGTTACTAACTTAACAATTTCAGCGATTCACTTAACAACAGTGGCAAGAAAAATAATGGGGCAAAACTCGCTTAACAAATGTGTCACTTAACAACAGAAATGTTGGGCTTAATTCTGGTCGTAAGTCGAGGACGACCTGTAGTGGTTAAGGCAGCAGGCTAGAAACCAGGAGGCAGTCAGTTCAAGTCCCGCCTCAGGCACAAGAATCCGCTGTGGGATTTTGGGGCCAGTCATCCTATCTCCACAGGGTTGTTGTGGGGAAAATGGAGGGCAAGGAAAGAGCATCAGGTATGTCCGCAGCCTTGAGTTCTTTATGGAAATGATAAAAGTGGGATATGAACAGACAAACTCTCCGGCTTAACTCTCTCCCGATCTCAAGGACGTCTGAAAGAAAACAAGGACTTTACTAAAGGCCAGCGGGGTTCAGCCTGACTCTAACTCCAAAAGAAATAAGGTCCCAGGGGGTGGATGGTGGAGCGTCAGTCCCGTCCTTCCTTGATCACCTGAAGGACTGCGCTTCAAGAACCGGAAAATGATAAGCCAAAAACTTAACCATTTTCTTGCCTATCTTAACTTGTATTTCTAACCTGAAACCCCCCCCTCACTGCCAGGGGCTCTGCGGGGTCTCCCCTACCCCTCGCCCCTCCCCCCAGGCCCAGAGAACCCTCCCGCTTTTCCCAGCCCCCCATTTCTGCCCCTCCCCCCAAGAGGCGGAATGCCTGGAAGGGGATTTCCTGATGGGACTTTCGCTTTCCTTTCCCCCGCCTCTCCAGCCGGTTGCGCCTGGATATCTGCCTAGCAACAATGACGACAGGGAAATACTTTTTGCCTACTGGTTGAGCTTGACCAATCACTCGCTTTTGCTCTGTATGGTTGCGTTGTTGATCACCCGGAGCGCGTCTTTCTCTGCCTGCGACTTCCGGAGAGCGGATCTCAGATTGAGGATCTCGTCCAGGATGGCTCTGCGCTCTCTGTCGCTCCTGGTGTTGATGGTGGTCGCTCTGCGGGAGAGCTGCCTCGGTGAGTCCCTTTATCTCCTGGTGAGGATCCATCCAACAAAGCTCTCCTCCCCCCCCAAAGATTATTCCCAGGAAGAGAATCCCGATTCGGTCCTCTTTCGAGTCCGCTCCCCCTCTGGCCCCTCTCAGAAGGGACCCCAAAGCGTGGATGGGACTTTGCTGCCTCTCCCCCTCCTCCCCAAGAGAGCCCCTCTGGGAACGGGACAAGGGAGGCCCAAACTCCTCCTCCTTCCATTTCAGGAGCCCCCAGCAGGGGAGAGTTTGCAGAATCAGAAATATTTAAAGTTTACTCTTATTCCTCAGTAATCAGATCGGAGGTCTTGGGGTGTCCCTAGTTGTTCCTCAGAGAAACTCTCAATGCAGCAGCTTTTCCAAAGGCATTTCCAAAACTGTCAGGATCTGAAGGATGAGAGAGGCTGGGCTGGAGGCAGGAGGAGAGAAGCCCCTCTGGATGGAGAGCCTGAAATGAAGGGCTTGCTTGGACACAGACAGGCCCAAACTGACCAGCCCTTCCTGACCTGAGGAGGATTTGTGATTGTGAGGACGCCCAACCTGCGTTACATTCACACGTTTCTCCTCTCAGGCAGACTTCAGACTCCCTCACTGCTCAGCCCCAGGAGGGGAAGAAGCGGGTTCTGGATGACGGAGGGTCCGATCCCCCCACATTCTGTCGGAGAAAAGCTCTGATCTGCTTGAAATCTCCCCAGAGCAGGAAGTGGATCTGGGGATCCCTCTCCCCAAAAGCTCTGAAAAGCCGCTGGGATTGTGGGGAGGAGCAGGAAGAAGGAGGCCGAGGCCTTTGCCTTGGGAGACTGGGAAGGGCTGGGAGACCATACTGGAGGGACTGGGCAATGGGAATACAGGTAGTCCTTGACTTACAACAGTTCATTTAGTGACCATTCAAAGTTACAACGTCATTGAAAAAAGTGATTTATGACAATTTTAAACACTAATGACCATTTTAGCGTCCTCATGGTCACGTGACCAGGATTTGGATGCTTGGCCACTGGTTCATATTTAGGACGGTTGCTGTGATCCTGTTTTGCGATCTTCTGACAAGCAAAGTCAGTGGAGAAGCCAGATTCACTTAACAACGGGATTAGTAATTTAATAACAGCAATGATTCACTTAACAACTGTGGCAAAAAAAATCGTAAAATGGAGCAAAGCTCATTTAACAAATGTCTCACTTAGCAGCAAAAAATGTAGGCTAGATTATGGTTGTAAGTCGAGGACTGCCTGTATTTATTTCTCTGGGGGGCTTTCATAATGGAGACCAAGAAGGGGCCTTGGGGATTTTTCAGTTTACCGTAATCTATTTCCCAGGAGGTTTTATTCATTTTATTTTATTTTTAGTTCTTTTAATCCACTTACAAGCTGTTGTTTTTCTGTTCATTGGGCAGCCTCAGAGTCTCTTCCGTGTTTGTGTTTTGACAATGAAAACTAAACTGTGACTTAATATAATTTTTTTTTGTCCTTGTTACTCAAGTTTAACATAGTTTTATGTCTTGTGAATTTAGTCTGTCCTCCAATCCAAGGAAGGGCTAAAAAAACTTTGATGCTCCTCGGTTGGGAGTTTGCATGATATAAACTGAAATAATGTTGTATGTTTATCTTTGGTTCACCAGAGGGGCTTTAAAGGTGTCGGGACCCTCCATACAGAGGCTGAGTTTGGGGAGAGGACCCCAGCAGAGCCCCCCACCCCACCCAATATGGGAGTTGGCAGCAGGAACTCCCAAGCAGCCTCAGTGGGGGCAGGAGGTGTGGCCAGGCTGGAGAGGCCCCTTGAGTTTCTTCCGGGTGAGGGGAATTCTGGGAGTTGAAGTCCAAGTGGCTGAGTCTGAGAAACTCCAATTTAGGCCTTTATGTTGAGAGTCACTGATCATGTGAAGAGTTGGGTAGCCATGATCAACCCCCTCCCAAGCTGGTTGGGGGGCATTTCTGCCTTTCTTTGTGCTGACAAAATGCTGACAAAGGAGAAGTTTCAGAGCAGCTTCTGTGGAAAGTGAAGGGCGAGATTCAGAGTAAATCTTGTGCATTGGAAGGCAATCCAGAAGAGGCTTTGTGGAAGGCCTTGAGGGAAGGGGGGAAGGGCACAGTTGGGACAGGTAAAGTTTGGGGGACCCGAGCTTCCCCTCCTCTCTCACACCCCACCTTCCGTGCCCTCCAACCCTTCAGGTCCTCCAAAAAGCGGCTTCTTTCCCTCTCAGTCGCTCCCTCCTTCCACCTCCTGCCTCCCCTTCCATCCTCTCCCCCTTCCTTCCCCCCTTTCTCCTCCCCCCAGCTCCCTCCTCCTCCTCCTCCTCCTCCTCCTCCTTCTTCCTTCTTTCCCCCCAGAGCCTCAGATTGGAGCCTCCATAGGATGAGGGTCCTTGACTGGAGCCCCCTAACTCTGCCTCTCTGGGTCCCTTCCAGGCGCCTCCTCGCACTCCCTGAAGTATTTCTCCTCCTCCATCTGGGACCCCAGTCAGGGGCAGCCCCACTTTGTCTCTGTGGGGTACGTGGACGGTCAGGTCTTTGTTCACTACGACAGCAACAGCCGGAGGGTGCAGCCTCGAGTCTCCTGGATGGAGAAAGTGGGGAAGGAGGACCCCCAATACTGGGACAGAGAGTCTCAGAAACAATTGGGCACAGAGGAGATGTTCAGAGCAAACCTGGAGATTGCGAGGACTCGCTACAATCAGAGTGAAGGTGAGTGATGGGTCGGGTGGCTCCTCCTGCCCCATAATCCCCTCCCTAGGAACCAGAGGGGGGAGAAAGGGGGGGTCCCTTCAAAGGGAAAGGCTGCTTCCCCATGTTTAAAAAAACTTTTTAAATATGTTTATTCTTTTTTAAAAACCAGTATAAGCTTGTCGTTGCCTCCATAGCTGATGTTTTCTGCCAATTGCAGTTAATAAAAACATTTTTTTAAAGTTTTCCCTCCATCTCCCTGTATATTGATAGGATATGGATATAAACTGAGTTAAAAGAGACCAAAATCTCCCCTCCCCCCATGAAAGTTGGGGGGTCCAGGCCTTGGTGGACCCCCTGCTATGCGGGAGGGAGGGGATCCCAGGTCTCTTCCCTCCCAGAAAAGAAACAGGTGGATCCTAAGGAGATCCTGGGGGAAGCAGGTCCTGTTTTTCTGTCTGTTTCCACCCCAGAGAAATGAGGGATCAACTGCAGATCCATCTGGGCTGACTAGATCCCTCTCTTTCACCTCTTTTTGGAGGGATGAGTGGGGCCCAAAATGGCAGGAGCTTCTTCTCATCCTCCAGGTGGAAGGAGAGGCCAGGAGGCCAAATGGGGTTGGGGGGACTCTGGGGGGGGCACAGGATCACTTCCAGGATCCTCCCAATCTTGAGGGGGAAAAGGACAGAAAAGAAAGAAACCCCCATTTGGGCCCTTCCTGAGTCGCTCAGAGCGCTGATGGCTTCCCATCCTTGGTCCCTCCGGCTGGACTCCTGCGCTGCCCTCTTGGTGGGGCTGCCCTGGAGGGGGGAGGCCTTCTTCAGCAGCCCCCCCTTCTGCCATCTTTGGGGCACAAGATTCACCTTCAAGGAACCTGATTTAGGGGAGAGATTGCAAGCAAATATCTGTGTCACCAGAGGCTGCTTTGGGCTGAGGTAAACTTTCTCCACAAACATCAGCCATTTTCCCTCCTTTCATCCCAAGGAGGTGCAGCCCCCCTTCTTCTGCCCTTTCCTTGCCCATCCCCCCCAGGCAGACACCCCAGAGATCTGCCTGTTCTGCCCCTGATCCCTGAGGATCCCCCCAGATCCCTTCAAGCCCTCTGCTGGCCTCTCAGGGGAGCAGAGCTGGACCCAGAGGTGGAGAAAGGGGGAAGGAGAGCGGCCAGAGTGGAGGGGAGCCTCCTTTCCAGGCTAAATAGCCCCAAATGTCCCAACCTTTCCTCCAAGGGAGGCTGCTTCCACCCTCCCGTCCTCTGGGTCGCCTCCTCTGGACCTTCCCCAGCTCCCTCCTGCCCTTTTGCTAAAAACATGATCCCTGGGTGCATCCATGCTAAAACAAATAAATAAAACGAACACCAGGGTAAAATCATTAAACTGTATGAGTTTAATGCACTATACAAATGCCGAGCTTTCGTCAGCGTTCTGCTGACATCATCAGGGCTTGATCAGCCAGTCTGTGGGAGTGCCTTTATAGTTTGAACAAAGTCTGCACACGGCTTTTGGACCTAGTTATCGGTCCTAGTTGCAACAGCTGTGCTCCGGTGATGACTTTTCTTCCGTTGGTTGTTCCTATCCTGCGAGGCTCATTCACGTGGTTGCCTTCATCTAGTTCATTTGCTCGCGGTTTGGGCACATATATATTTATTAAAACTTTTGGTTTTCAATTTTTATTAAAATGGTTTTCAATACCATTTTAATGGTCTCTGATATCCTGTTTGCCTTTTATTTTTTTTATATAATTTGTACTGAGCCTTTCCAATAAAAGATTAAAAACTAATAGAAAGTAATATAAAGGAGATAAAAGAAAGAAATCGAAGAAAAATCAAAAACTATATAAGAAAAGAAAACAAGTTGAAGAAAATAAAGAAAAAAGACATAAAGAAGTGGCTTCTGATATTCTTCACAGCAGTTACAAATATAAATATATATTTTAGCCTCCCTAAAGCAGCCTTTCTTAACCTTTTGACCCTGGAGGAACCCTTGAACTATTTTTCAGGCCTCGGGGAACCCCTGAACATCCAGGCTCAGAGATGGGGCAGAATAGTTTCCTGCGTAGACCTGTAGAGATGCATTAACAGCCTTCTTACACTAAGAATAAAAACTTGCCTTTTCAGTCTGATCCCTGTGCTTCTTTTTGCAGCACAAATATTAAATTCTGTGCCAAACGTGCAATAAACACAAACAGATTTCATCTTCAACTGAAATAAGACGGTTTCTGTCTTAGCTTTGGATGCTTCTGAAGTAAGACAGAGCTGGTTCTCAGAAATTGAAAACTGCAGACAGATTTTCAGTGCCTTCCTGTGAATGGCAGGAGACTCTTCTTGGGCAGAAATCCAGAACCTTTTTTTCCCCCTGGGCAGATCAGGGAATCTCCTCTGGAGGGCAGGATCAGACTCAGCTCAGGAGGATCTTCCTCTCCCTCCAAAGGGAAGGTCTCAGGCTGAGCAGAAGCTGCAGAGAAAGGATCCCCTCACACGGTCACTCATGGGAGTGGAAAGGGAGGGAAAGGACTGGTCAGTTTAGTTCAACTGTACTTACAAGTGGTTTTCCCTCAGATTTGAGAGTTTCTGGCATCCTTCCTCATTCTCAAGCCCAACCAGAAGTAGAAACATTTCAACATTTCCTTTTGGTTTTTTCAAACATTCAGTTTCCTTTTAAATCCCAGAATCTAGTCAGTTAAAGTCAAAATCTTTTCTCCAGGACCTTGCAAGACTATAAACTTCAAACTTCATTTCAAAGGTCAACAACCCTTTGGGGGAGCAGATCAGATTGGGCCACTTGCTGCTGTTGCTAAGGAAAATATTCCTTTGTGGCCCTTCAAGGCTTCATTCCCACAATGTACAAAGCCATGGTTTGTTTCTGGTTAGCCCACAAAGGGAGCCAGCCTTGTGACTTGGTGACATTTCTGAACATAGATCAAGATTTATGGTCACAGGGATTCTTGCAAGCTTCTTTGCAGATCAACCAGATTCTCTCTGAGGACATGAGATTCTCAGTCCTTCTTTGGAGCTGCAGATTCATGCAAATGTTCCCTCTCTGGGATCCCTTCCTTTCCCCCCAAGAGTCTCCCCAACAGAGGAACTGCAGAAGGAAAGAAGGGAGAGGCTCCGTCCCTCCGTTTCTTCTGCGACTCCTTCTTTTCTCGGTCTCCCTCGGGATCCTCCGCTGGCTTTTCCAGCTTCCCTTTTCCTGGGGAGATTCAGGGGCTCCATCCTGGGGGGGGGGGAAATGGAAGGAGGCAGGTTGAGGCAGGGGAGAAGGGCAGGTAGTGATGGGGGCTTTCTTTCCCTTGATTGCTAGGGAGGAATTGGGGGTGTCATTTCCTGTGCCAAAGTCCCTTCAGGGAAGGGGGTCTGTGTCTATCTTGAGGACTCCCCAAACCATCATCTTGTTCCTATTTCAGGCCTTCACATAATACAGTGGATGTATGGGTGTGAGCTCCTGGGAGACGGGAGCAAAAGAGGGTTTATGCAGTATGGCTACGATGGGAGGACCTTCCTCACCTTCGACAAGGAGAGACTCATCTGGGTGGCTCCCCAACCCCAGGCCCAGATCACCCAGAGGAAATGGGACGCTATTCCAGGATTGAATCAGAGAGATAAGTCCTATCTGGAGGAAATCTGCATTGAGTGGCTGGAGTGGATCCTGTCCTACGGGAAGGAGATGCTGCTGAGGACAGGTGAGCCTCTGGATGCAGGCTGGATTTTCCTCCTTTATGGCTGGATTTCTTGTGCATATTCGGCCCTTTTGTGTTCCTGGTCTGCCGTCTGACTGCCCAGGAGGGAATCCTCCCCCTCCCCTTCCAGCCCCTCTCCATGACGCGGGAAGCCCTGATTGGTTCCCCTTGCCAGGCCGCCATTCGATGGACCAGGAAATGCAGCCTCTGCCTGGGGGGTGTCTGGGTGGATCAGGCAGGAGAAGCACTTGGGGGTGTCCTTTTCATTGCCCACAATGAGGGGCACCCTTAATTTCCCCCCATTACAGTAGTGGCCAAAATTGTGGAAACCTCTCTGCCCCCTTTGAGGGATAATATCTCTTCTCCAAAATAATCAGTCAGAAATTGCAAAAGCCCTGAGGCCCTTTTTTCCTTTGATTCTGGCTCTCCTCTTCTTGAAACTGGGGTTGTGTCCCTTGGAAAGAGCCCTGCAGCAGCCTCAGATTCAGGGGAGCAGAAGGAAACCACAGAAGTAGAGAGAAACCTCTGTGTTGTTGTTGTCTTGAAAGGGAACTTAAAAGGGCAGCTCCACTTTCCCTCCCCTGAAGGAAATAATCCAAGATCACTCAGAGTTCAAAGCAGCCAGAGAGGAATTTCCTTGGACCCTCAATTTGCTCCCGGAGGTTTTTCAGGCTGAGTCCCTGGGAAGGACTCAGAATCAGGAGTTCTTGTGGCTGAGCATTTTTCAGATCTGGAGCATTTCCTAAAACTCTTGGAGACGCTGCAGGTATGGAGTGGGAAGTAGTGGGAGATTTTCCTGCCCCTCCAAGTTTCCCCTCCACCTTCCAGGCTCTGGAGGGGCTCAGAGTTAATTCCAGGGGTGCCATTTCTGCAGAGCCCCCAGAGGTGACCATGAGCAGCAAGATGGAGATGAAGGATGGGATGGAGATGCACGTCTGCCGCCTGGATGGCTTCTACCCCAGGGAGATCGATGCCTCCTGGACGAGGGACGGGAAGGTCTGGCTGCAGGACACCCTCCGTGGCTCCGTGGCCCCCAACGCGGATGGGACCTATCACCGCTGGCTCAGCATCCAGATCGATCCCAAAGAGAGGAGCCGCTATCATTGCCACGTGGAGCACGACGGCCTGCAGGAGCCTCTGGACGTGGCCCTGGAGGGTGAGAGGCTGCAGGGAGGGAAAGGCTGGGCTCTTTGGCAGGCTGGAGGGTTGTGAGAGAGGAAGCTGACCCCAGCTGTGTCCAGATGTGAGCATACCTGACCTTTGAGCCATTGTTTTTTCCAATGTTTGAGGTTGGTGAAGCTGCAGGGACCAGACCATAGAACTGGCTTCAGGGGATGTAAAGGAAACTCCAGAATCCCATCACAAGAGCTGGCAGATCCTGATGAAATCCTCTTAGATCCTCTCTTAGCCTCTGTCCCTCCCCTCTTTCTTGCCTCCAGCCCTGGAGCAGCAGTTATACTGAGCACCCAAAAAAAGATTTTATTTTCTTTAGAATTCCTGAAGTACAAAAGTCAGGAGGAGAGTCTGAGTCCCTTTTTTAAGGCCAAATTTAATTAAAATTGATGAACTGCAGCTGACTTCAGAAAAGAGACTATCAATCTGAGTTTTTACCATCAGAGACTTTTCCTGCTGTAAAGAACGAAATGTCTTTGTGTGTTGCTGCTGTACGAAAGAAATTGCACATTATTTTATGATACCATATGGGAATTCCTGAGGCTCAGCATAAAACCTAAGAAAAAAAGCCCTCTAAGAACTCTACATATGTTCATAACTGCCCCTAACATTTTTTACACTGGACTTCCAAAATTGCAGAATTCAAGTTTAAATCTTTTATTGAT